TGGGGATCAGGAACATAAGGTAGGTACCTAGTGACACTTTGTCCTAGCTGTTTAACCAGAGCATGCAGGTCCTTGACAGCTTCTCTGTCCTATCTGCCAGGCCACCTCTCAGACAGTTAGCCTGGGGTGTCTGAAATGTCACTGTGTTTGGCAACTGAGTTTGCCTTTAATGACTTCATCTACTTAACATCTTTATAACAACAGATACCCATCCTGATATTTTAATTAGACATAATGGAAAATGTCTCTTTTTTTCTTTTCTGGTTATATTTGAAGTCCAGCCTGACAAACATAAAAATAAAATTAAGTAGCTGAAACTGGAAAAATTCTGATTCTTTGTATTTAGATCTTTGAGTGCAATACAACAAACAGCTTTTTTTTTAATTAAAGGAAACTTTTAAAAAGACAATTATTAAAAAAGAGGACGATCCACCAAATCTTATTGAACATACTTGCAAAGCCCTTGTGGTGTTTGTTTTGACTACTTGTGTACTGCTGAGAGGCTTTCCATAACTAAAATTTAGAAAAAGTGCCTTTTGCCAATAGAGGCTGTCATCCAGGTCCAGTCACATGCGCTTTTATACCTTTTTTTCCCCTCAGAGTATAGTCAGTCACTGAAAACTTGAAGAATATAACATTTCTTCATTCAGTAGTACCCAGAGGAAAGCAGTGGCAGGTGGAAAAGTCTGTTCTTTAAGAACAGTCTCAAGGGAGAGAGAGCAGGTTTTCAGGGAGCAAAACCTTGATTTTATAGATTGAGATTATACTATTTGAAACAATGGAGTTTGCCAGCAGAATGGTGGGTGTAAGTGCAGTGGCATCTCTGTCTGGTCTGGTGTGCTTTGTAGAGCACCTCGCCACATCTGTCGCAAGGCCACCCATTGGCAGAACTGCATCCAAACCGGGAATTTCACCAATGCAGCAACGTCAGTGTAGATGACACGTACAGTGGCAAAGGTCTAAAGATGTTGGACAGTGTCGTGTAGAGTGGGCAAAGGTCTAAATGTGTTGAACATGGTCATGTAGGACAGCCAAAGGTCTAGGTATGTTGAACACTGTTACGTAGATATCTGCTATATATAAATACATTGTGAAACCAAATACCATGGGTTATTATAGAGGACAGAAGTGTATGTGGGTTCAATAACAAAGTAGGAAAAAAAAAAAAAATGAATGGATGCCCTACCTGCTGGCAGTTACTCAGGTGCAAATTTCAGGAGAGGAGGTGTCCAAGCAGCTGGTTGGTCCTTCTGAGATGTACCCTCAGCTTCCAGTAACCTGATTGTCCTGCTTGAGTACTTGTTTTCTCAACCAGAAATAGGATACGGATTTCAAAAGACAGAGCTTGCCTTGTGTCTCGTTGGGACATGACAACCTTCCTCTCTGTCTGGGCAACCACCAAGAGGCTTACACAAGCAGTATGTGGAGCAGAGCAGAGTGTGCGTGGACATGTTCTGGCACTGTTACATCAGTCTGAATAGGTTTACGTTGCCCATCAAAAAGGGTTGAAGCAGCAATTAACATGTCAGTTTTTACTTCTGTGTATATTTATTTCAAAGTAACATTAAAGTATTGAAAGAGTCCTGCAGCATTAGCTGGTATATTACTGCTGCAGGACTACTGCTGACATTTTAACCGGTTTTAAGTTATCATCTTTTTCTTTAGAAATGCTTTTGTAACAAAGTCCCAGAGGAGCAGCTGGCCCTCTTCACTCAAAAAATGAGGCACAATCTCAAGGAATTAGCGGTTAGATGCCTGCCTCTGAAAGTGGGGACTCTCTGGAAAAAGGGGCTTTTGGGGAGGCTGGGAGATGGAGTAGAAGTAGCAGCAATTTGTGTGTGTGTGCGCGCACGTGCGTGCTTCCTTACAGTAAAATCTTTGATGTCGTTACTTGGGCAGTTTCCTTATTCTTCTGCAAGTCTGGGAATAAAGGGTTATTAGATAATTTTCTGCCAGTGTCTCTTTGTATTCGTTACTCTGGTTGGCAGAAGGCACAACCGGCCTGCGTTTACGTCCTGACTCTTAAAACATGTTGTTTGCTGCTACACGCCTTTTTAACTGAGGGATCAGAGGCTTAGCTGTAAATGTGAGGAAGGCTCAGGATAAAGCTGAGTATACAGAATATTAACCTGAGGTCACTTATCACAGTGAAAGCTTTTTTGCCGTGGGGTTTTCTTTTTCATTCCAACCTTATTCTGCCCTCTGCTGGCGGTTCGTGTTATGAAACAGAGATGGCGTTATGCTGTGGTAGGGTTACCTGTGCTAGCTTGCTGTCTGCAGTCTGTTTTACCAAACAGAATTTGAATTCCTGTCATTAATCAGATTTCTCACCACAGGTAACTGTGTATTATATGAAAATGTGTAGTAAATACACTAATTTTGGTCTTAAAAAAATCATCCCAAGGTACAAGTTATTACCCAGGGAATAGTTATTCTGTCCTTCAAAGCTATATTTACTTTCTGAAGGCAAGCAAATTTCTGGGTTTTGGCAGGCATGCTGATTTGTGAAGTCAAGTACTTGAGTTAAGAAATGCTAGTACTGAGGATGCCTGTGCTATTTTAATGCTACCCTTGCTGCATGCATATGCATTCAATGCCTGTACTTACTAGATTGTGTACTATTTTCCTCCACGCAGTTTTTTTTGCACATTGGTGTGTTGCACGTGTAATGAGCAGCAACTCCATGTATTTGTTGTTGCACCTGTGACGTAGCCAAGTCTGGAGTGCTGTTCTCCACAACAGAATTCAGATTATAGTTCTGTCGACTTTCCAGTTTCAAAAAGAAATGAAGCAAGAAGCACTAATCACTTTGAACTTGGTTCACCTCTTCAGAAGGTTCATCCTATGCACTGAATAAGTGAAAGGGCCTAAAAGGAAAAAGTGCATAACATGTAAAAGGAGGCAAAATAAGGATCGTGCAGACTGCTTCAATTCTGATACTTCCTCATTTCTTAAGTATCTGGCATTACAGCCTTGATCTTCTTTTAATATTACCTGGGTGGCGTTGAGACACCCAAAGTCTTGAGAAAGCCAACCTGAAGAATTGTGCATCAACTTTGGATAGCTGTGGCAGTTGTGAGCAAGGCCGGAGCTTTTGGATCCACTTCTGCCAGTTGTATTCATGAAGCAATCGAGGTAGAGATAAGTCTGCTGTAGTTTTACTGACAAGCATAATGGGACATATTTTTGCCAGTGGGTTTCACAGATAGATGCTGAAAGCAGGAGAGTGACGAGAGTGAGCACAAGATTTTTGTGAATGTAATTCATGGGCATGGACTGTCTTGCTGTTCTTCTCCCCAGCTTATCCCCATCCTGGTTTCCATACTTCAGGTTCCACCTCTCCATCTGAGTTATATCCCTTGCCACAAAAGACCTTAGCTCCTGCCTCTGCTTGCCTCTTTCCCTTTCTCCAGCCTGCACTTCTTCCCAAGCTCATTGATACAGTCTTGATTTCACCTCCTCTGCTGCTTCTAGCCTAAATTTTAGGTTTCAAGTTGTTTTGACTGTCAAATCGCTGAGAAACTTTCCATTGGAGCTGTAATTTAACTACTCTGACAACAGGATTCCCTTTCTTGGCTACTTATTGCAGGCCCCTTCAAAGTAGTTGCAAATCTTCGCCATGGTTGCTTTACTGAGCTGCCTCCTCTCTTCCCTGCTTGTGAAACCTGACAATAAATAGCAGCCAAGCAAACAAACAAGTGGACTAGTATGGAAGTGGGATGAGTCTTCAGTAATAAATAAATATTTATTTGACCCACAGATTCTAGTTGTAGTTAACCAACTGAGAGCTATAATCACGATTTTCCAGAGGCCTGGCTGCTATCAGGTAGTCACCATCTGTGTGTGCAGAGGAGGATTAGAGATGGTGTTTGAAGGTGCTGCTTGGGGAAAAAGCAAGCTGTTACTCTAATGGGGGACAGCTGAGACCTGTGTTTTTCACCAGTCACAAGGGACCACCGAGGCTGGTTTTCAGCCTTCCTACAGAACCGTGCATTTTACAGAAAGGCACTTGGGATGCAAAATCTTTGCTCCCACAGAGAGGATGGCCTCGGAGGGGAGCCTGCAAGTGTGACTTTTCAGGAAGAGAGTCAGGGTTACAGTCCACTCGTATTTATCTGATAAAATTAACAACTGCAGTTCTTAGACCAAAAGGGAAGGGCACTTAATTATAATTCAGTAACTCCGTAGGGAGCCCAAATAATGATTGCAAAGGATGTAAACTGTGCTGTGAAACACCATGCCTGTTTGCACTGCAGCCCTGCTAAGACCCCAGGAGATCCTGAAAACAAGGAGAGAAAGGACGGCACTGGAGGCCCTGTCAGCCTCCAGTGGTACCTCCAAGGATACCGTCCTCTAGCTGGTCTATCAAGTCACTAGCTGGTGAGCTTACCCATGGTATTGCAGAAGGTCCATCTAAGGTCTGTCAGGCTGCTCATTCCAGGACGCAGGCAGCTGACCCTGAGGCACTTTGTGCGTCACGCTCTGCCTGCCTGCCTGCCTTCTTAAATTGGGCTTTTCAGTGGCTAATGCTGTACAAAGAACTGGGGTGTCTGGATCCAGGTACAAAACATCCTTAGGCAAGCTCCTCCCAAACAAGTAACCTGCTTTTAGGTACCAACTTGAGGAGGAAACAAAGTGTTTCCTACCTGGAAAAGAGGGCAGGAGGGCTGCTGCCTCCGTAGCCTCATCCAGTGCTAATTGCTAGTTGTTGAAATGAGCTGGTGCTAGTGGTTTCCTGTGGGCAGGGAAGCTGTGGGGCTGTGTCAAGACATAAATATGAAGGCTGGGACTCCACATAGCATTAGACGACGAGAGCTGCACACTGCTTTTACTGCTTTCCTGAACTACCTTTTTCTTTTTTAGCCAAAAACTTTAAAATGAGGTTATTAACAAAGATGACTACATGTTAATTGCATCCTTATGGTTTTTCCCAAGAAAGTCTTACGTTTTAAAACAAACACTAACAGCATGCTTGTTTGCTCTGAGAAGAGGAGTCAGGCATGTACACTGAAGAACTGTGCTTGGAGCTCGGCAGTAGGTAGGAGACTGTGCTCAAGATGTATCCAAATCCCAGCTTGTTAACCTGCCCGCATACAAGTGTAAAGTCATTTTTGTTGTTGGAGTTGTTAAATGCAGTAGATAAGATTTATTTTTGGTGGACTTTTTTAGTTCTTTTGGATGCTTCTTTAGTTTTACTAACACTTTTTTTTCCCCTCTCTCTCTGACTTCAGCCATTGATGGATTTCTAAAAACCGATGAAAGACAAAGACTGGCAAAGGAGAGAAGAGAAGAAAGGGAGAAATACCTTGGTAAGATTCAGGAGGTGTATGTATTATTTATGTATATGTGTTAATAGGCTTAAGTTATGACATTTTTGACATTTTTTCTGTTCTGAATTTTAAACATTGTGGTTCAGTCTGTTCCTAGTCTTTCTCACTTATATTACTACTTTTAAGCTAAATTATAAAAAATAATCTGTAGTCTTTGATTTCCGTTTGAGTATTTAATATTCTATAGTTACAAGTTGACTTTCTTCTTTGATTCATGTACTTTTGAATATAGGTTTATGTTTAAGATATTGACTGTTAGGATTCTGATTCATAAAAATACCAAATAAGCCTTGAATAATACTCAGGATAATATGTAGGATGATTTGGTGAAACAGCCTCAATTTTAGCCTATTAAGTTTTAGCCATATTAAAAGATATCATGGAGTTGTTAAGTATGGCATAAAGCAGATACCTTTCCATAGGTTTTAAAATGGTTAATCTTTCAAGAGAATGAGTAAAATTATTTTAATTGATTTCCTGAATAACATAAGCATTGATTTCAGAGTTTTTAAAATAGTCAATTGTTTTTAATCTACTAATACCTCCAGGGAAATGTTGAGGAAATGGGGAAAAAAAAGAAAAAAAAATATATATACGCACATATGGGGGGGTGTATACACAGTTAATTTTGTGTGTGTGTGTATATATATGAATGAAATTAACTGTTCAACATTGTTTTGGACTTTCTATATATACATACATATATACATATGTATATATACACACGTGTATATATATGTAAAATGTTAAACAGTTAACTTCACTTTTCCTCATTGTAATAACAAGAAAGGCCAGTAGCACTGTTCCTTAAGGCTACCTGACAATACCTATCAGAAGGAATTGTCCATGTTTTATGATTTTGTAAAATTTAAGCTAGGCATATATTTTGAGGAAATGTCAACTAAACCAGTATGGACACCTGTGAAAAGAATCATAGGAAAATACTGTTTTTCTTGCAATAAATAAACAAACAAACTGTTGACAACTTCTTGATAAAAGCTGAGGCTTGAGAACAGTGACTTGACATTTTTTAGTACCATGGGCTTGGTGAGCCAGATTCCTTTTGGTAGTTCCTGTGAAAATCTGCCGGTGTTTAGTACTTAACCTCCCCAGAGGTTCTGTCTATATGGGGCATAGAATCATAGAATCATTGAGGTTGGAAAAGACCTCTAAGATCATCGAGTCCAACCGTCAACCCAACACCACCATGTCCACTAAACCATGTCCCTAAGTGCCTCATCTACTCGTCTTTTAAATACTTCCAGGGATGGGGACTCCACCACTTCCCTGGGCAGCCTGTTCCAATGTTTCACCACTCTTTCAGTAAAGAAATTTTTCCTTACATCCAATCTAAACCTCCCCTGGCGCAACTTGAGGCCATTTCCTCTCGTCCTGTCACTAGTTACTTGGGAGAAGAGACCAACACCCACCTCGCTACAACCTCCTTTCGGGTAGTTGTAGAGAGCGATGAGGTCTCCCCTCAGCCTCCTTTTCTCCAGGCTAAACAACCCCAGTTCCCTCAGCCGCTCCTCATAAGACTTGTTCTTATGAATTCTTGTTTTTTTGTTCTTATGAATTCTTGTTCTGGCATGCACCAGCCTGAGTTGTAGCTTACATCTCTTCCAGGTATACTCAGTCCAGACTCTCTCTTCTGTCCTCTTGATTATCCCTTCTTTGCTGGTTCCCGAGAAAGTGACATGATGAGTAGATTGAAAAGGACTTGGGTGAAAAAGCAGAAGAGATGAGAGGGAAACTAAAAGCTGGAAAATCTGGGCGTGGTTGGCCCGGGGGATTTGGAAGGTGTTGGCTGCAGTTCTTGTCTCCAGACATCACACATGCCTTCTGGAAACATACTTTATTAGGGTTAAGACCATTTCCAGAATGGGGAGCTCTGGGTTTTGGTCACAGTTTCTGTGGCAAATTTCTTTTAGAAGTTCAGAAAAAAGCAGCGAGTTCCCCAGAAGGACAGATCTTCATGCAGCCAGTAGGTACTTTGCAGCAATATGGACTAACCTTTTCACCAAAGCCAAAACTCATTAATTAGTGGTTTAGTATCCCTAAATTAAGGAACAAGAATTGTATGTATGTCCATGATGACAGAATGGTTTTCTTCTCTGTCCAGAATCAGTCCCAGGTTTCACCTACTTACTCAGAAGGTAATCTTAGCACAGTCTCTGGACACCTCACTTTATTTTTGGTTTTTTATCAACTCCAGCATGCTGTTTTCACCTGCTCTACCTGATGTGGCTAGTAGTCATTAACAGTTAGCAACTGGTCACTTGTCTTCCACTGTCTCTGAGGTAACTCTTTATCTGTTGACAAGTCTGATTCTTCATGCGTACAAGTCCAGGCTCGCCTGCAGCGCTGACACCCCTCTCATACTGCTGCCCTATCCTGGGTGGGGAGGAATAGTGAATTCTCATAAGGCAAAAGGGAAAGACAACATCGACTGTATTTCTAACAAGAATAAGGTAGAAGGTGTTCTGTAAAGCAGGTTGGATATGAGGAAGAAGTATTTTAGGAGGATCCAGTATTCAAGGGAAAGAAATGCAACTGTTGGAAAAGGATCTGGTGTTGCAGGGACTCTGGCTTTAAACCAAGGGCTTTTGAGGGTGGAGTGGGGCTAAGAGGGACTGAAGGTCATGGCTGTGGTTAAAGAGCTTGGGGGCAGGAGCTGAGAGGAAGCTGATCTGAGAAGAGGGAATTGAGATGGCTGGGCAAGAGCCTAGGACTGATGGGAAGATACTGAGGGAGAGCTGGAAGGGCAAAAATTTGCTGTACAAGGAAACAGGAACTGAAAAAGCAGACTGAGGCTGAATAGGTGAGCAGGATGAAGGACTAGGTCTTATATAAACAGTGTTAATTCTGGCTTTCCCTAACTTTCAAGTTCTTAGCCTGGCAACTGTGAGAATATTCCTTCTTTGATATCAGCTGTATGTGTGTTGGTATGTGACATTACAGGCTTGCGTGTATGTAGGCATGCTTACTGAATTCCTCTTTCCTGCCTTTTTATGGAATACACTTGCATGAGAAGTGGATTTTTGCTCATGATTTGTCACGTTAACTTCTACTACTTGTTCTCCTATGTAAACCTGAAGCAACAGTCCTATATGTAATGTTGCAGTCTGAATTTCTGTAACAACAAGTTAATGTCTCAAGAAGACGATGACTCTAGTTGGAATAAACAACTGGGCAAACCCTCAATAACAGAAGTAATTTTTTTTTGTCATGCAAAGAGGCAGAAGTGGATAACGATGTAGCACCAAATTATGAACAGAATGGTGTATTTTCAAAGCTTCATAGAATATTTAGCGTATGTTGTTTTCCTGCATTTATTTTGAAGGCAGCCCCATAATGAGAAGCACAGTTTTAAAGAAATTCCGAGGGCTTTTGCTTCAACATGTATTGTTTCACTGATTCACTTTAAAACCTACCGGGAACATTGGTTATGGCTGAAAAATTAATTTGGCTTTAAGCTACAGAAGGATTTGAAACATAAGCAAAAAAGACTTGTTAACTATTCCGTGCACTGTTTTTACATAGGTAAGGGGCACAAACTCACCCTGTGTACAAAGGGCTTCCCTATTTATTTATTGAGCACATCACTTAGATTTAGTAATCATTCCAGCACTTCTGTGTGCTATGTTTTTGATTTTAGTGGACTAAAACCCTGTGTACTTGTATTTGTTGTTTTACACTATTGTGTCATGTTAATCAAATAATTTTAAAGCAGAAGAACATTTGCATAAAGTGAAATGCACCTTTTTCTCTGCCTAAGCTGCTAGGGAACAGCAGATTCTGGAGAAGGAGAGAAGAGCAAAACTTCAATATGAAAAGCAAATGGAGGAGCGATGGAGAAGACTGGAGGAACAGAGGCAGAGAGAGGAGCAGAAGAGAGCAGCTGTTGAAGAAAAACGGAGACAAAAGCTTAAGGAGGAGGAGGTAAGGTCCACTGGGAGATGTACGGCAGAGTGACTCTGTATGGTGGCATTAAACGTAGCTGAATATTGACACGCGTTAAATGCTGATCTCTCTCTTTTTTGGCCCAGAGACATGTGGGCATTACTTCGGGAACTGCAAACGCACATCACCACAGCTATAAGTACTCTACTACTGCTTGTACATCAAAAACACTTGCCAAAGCTTTTTTTTGTCTCTTGATTTTTGTCTGATCTCACAGAATAGTCATCTACTTATGCTAACATATCTGGGACTCTGACTGTCAGACAATAAAGCACCAGCTTTCCACAAGGTAGTTTTTAAAGATGAGTGTTTCCATAAAAGGGAAAGATTTTTCTTCCTGTTTTGTTTACTGTCCGTGAAACTGAAATAATGTTTATGAAAACGTTGTTTCATTTTTCCTCAGTGACATAAAATCAGAAATTCTTACTGAAAGCAGTGAAGAATCTAGACTAGTTTAAAATTCTAGCACAGAACAGAATTATATCTTTTGAAGCATCTTCATACCCTTCCTCTCTTCTACTCTGCCTGTTGAGATCGTTTAAGGTTCTTTTTTGCTCTAGTGAGTCCAATTTCTGATGCAGATCTCTGAATGCAGTGTGTGTGTGTCTCCGAATGACATTCTGTAGAAAACACTAGCACTGCTACTGCAACTGATAAAGAATTAATGACTTTAGGAAAAGGGGGCAGTGTTGTTTGTTTTGGGTTTTTTTGTTTTTTTTAAAAAGGCCAAAACCCGGTATTTCCCTGTTCCTAGATACCTGCAGACTTCTAGAGCCTTTTTATTACCCTTCCTTTTTTTCTGCCCCCCATCTTTTGATCAAAATATCTTTGCATGGTGGTTTTAAAGTCTGTGGTGATGGGAATGGAGGTGTTCTGGCAGAGTTCTCTTCTGGGGCAGCTGGAGCTTGTTGCAGAGCACAGTGGAAGTGTGTCCAATTCCTCGGACAGGAACTGAATAAATGTGTCTGAAAACTGTCCTGTCTACATTGACTGCACCTTTCTTATCTTCAGAGGTCTTCAGTAGCACCGCCCTTCTCTCCATATTACTTTTAAAGCTGCCCACTTCCTTTAATAAAAGCAGTCCCTGAGCCTTGAGGAAAGAAGCATGTTGTTCAACAGAAGCCATGGAAGAGTTGCTTTTAACAGTAAGAAGCCAGCGGCTTTGGGACTGGATAAAAGCAAAGCTAGTCCTGGTTCAGTTAAAATAATTTTTTCCCTATCTTGAACTTCCATGTGACTTGGAAATACCTTGCAAAAACAATGTCTAGCTGTACACAGGGTATTGGGAAGTCTCCCTAGAAGCTGTGTTCTTCTACTGCTCTTGTATTCCATAAGACAATATGAACATCACTTGTATGGGCCATGTCAAGGATGCTAGTGCAAATAAGAGCAATAACATCCATCTAGTCAAAGATCCATTTTTAATAGAACCATCAGATTTTGTTAAAAAGGAAATTGATAAAATTAGTACTGATCCTACCAATATACTAATGTTTAAATGAACTGCTACTGGTAGACAGCATCAAATCTAATCCAGCACTCAGACTTGAAAGATTGATGTAACAACTGCTAAATGGAAAAGAATATCCTGCAGCATTGGAGAGATTGTTTTGGTGCACATGCGCTATTTTTTACATTTGTAAAACATATGCACTTAAACACAAGAGAGTGAAAAACTCTCAAGATGTTATAGTATTAATTACTTACTATATTATAATTCAAAGTTAATTACTTTTTGAATTATATGGAAAAAATAACCGCTTTCCAAACAGCTTTTGGCAATTCATATACTGAGTGGAATTCAGTTGCACAAGTACTACAAAAATTTTGCTGCAAACTGTTTGAGATTGCTGTGCAAGCAGTCTCTCAATTTGCTGTGCGGTGGACGTGAGGAGAAGAGTTTAGTCCTCCATTACAACACCAGCCGCCCTCTGCTCCCCCCTTGCCATTACTTGCTGCTGCAGCTCCCCATGTACCTTAAGGCAGAGCCTTCATTTGCCCCATGTTGTTCTTTGATGCGCACACTCTTAATAAATTTTCCCTTTCTACACACCCGTAACTGTAATTGGTTGAGAGTAGAAATGAATTCTGTTCAGAAGGGTAGTTAAATTTAAAAACGCTGTATTGCTTTTTAATGCATTCTTTAAAGAGAAAATAACAGAGCTCTTTTGTTGCTTGTGGAAGAGCCAGTCAAAAGATGAAGCCAACTGATAATATCAGGAAACAGTGAGCTACTTACGTACAGTGCTGATGAATATATAAAGTGAAGAAGAAGAGATTTTTTGGGGCTCTTTTAGATGTTTGTATTGTAGGTATAAGGCAGATTATTTTAAATTGTTTGCACAAATTATTTTAAGTCATAATACTTGTAAAATTAATTTTTTCCTTGTTTTCACATCTGTGTCATCTTTTACATAGAGAAAAGGAAAGTGCTTCAGTCAAATTACCTGTATTCTCGCTACTGGTTTTTGGGTTTGTTTGGTGTTTTGGGGTTTTTTGTTTGTGGTTTTTGGCTTTGTTTGGGTTTTTTGGTTTTTTTTTTTTAAATCAGTGCAAATGTTTGTTCTGTTGCTTAGTCTGAGGAAAACCTGGATGAATAACTATGGATTTTGGAAAGTAACATGTATAATTTAGATACTAGCAGTAGGTGGCTCTCTCTTTATGGTTTTACTCATTCTTAACTTAACCTACATGCAAAGCTTGTACATTATAGTTTTTTTGTGGAAGCTCACTATATCTTTAGTGCAGAGATTATTTCCTCTATCTATAGCTGTTAGAGTTCCCAAATGAGGGCCACATGGATAGTTTGGTATGTTTTTTAAGAAGGAACTTCATCTATAACATAGACAGGAAGGGGTTTGCGCGTTGTTTGCTGGTGAAGGAATGCTTTGTCTTGTTTAGTTTTCGTCACAGACCAAACTATTAATGTATGAGTTGTTTATGTTACGCTTCACTGTGTCTTACTGTTTTCTTTTGGCTTTTTAGTTTTGTGCTAACTTAAAATGTTTCTTAAAAAACTATCCTTCCTTTGTGAAAAATGGCCTTCATATTCTTTATCTAAGCTATATCTGCAGGGTTTCATGAGGTTTAATAATTATGTTCTATAGTGCTTTAATGAAAGGCTCTTTGCAAATGAAAATGAATGATCCTCTCCACATCACGTAATTGAAGATTTCAACCTCAGATTGTAGGTAGCATGGGCTTTCAAATGTGTATGAAAAATAATTTCATTTCTTTAATCTATTTCATCATGCGTTTTATTCTTAAAGCAGCGCTTTCATAGTAGGTGGTATAAGTGTATTCTGTGGTTTGCCAACTACAGAATATTGCTGGTCCTTGCTCCAAGCAGCATTAAAAAAAAAAAAACCAACCCACAAACCATAAATCACCCGGATAATTGAAATTGAAACTTGCCTGCTTTCATCTTATCTTTTTTGATTAATGTATAACAATATTCATTAGATATGGAAAGAAAGTGTATGCTTTAATGAGAAAGAAATGGGAGGGTCATTTTCCTTTGTAAAGAGTGTGGGTAGAAAGGTATATTGGGGCAAAATGCATAGTAAAAGAAAGTAATGAAAAGCAGACTGCATAGAAGAACTGGTGATGAAATAGGAGGTGAGGTTTAGAAAGAGTAAGTACAGAAAAGGGACTCAAACAGAATTAAATTAATGTTGGGAGGTGGGAAGTTAAAGGCAAAAAGTGTGAACTTGAAACGCAAAGCCAGCACACACAGGTTTTAAATGTGAACATTGCATCATCAAGTAGTAAGAGCAGAAAGAAAGACTGTAGCAAGCTAAATCAGAGGGAGTGACTTTGGATTCCAGAGACTGGAAGATTGCTTTCTTTTCACACCCAAAGTACGGACAAGAAGTGACAGGGTATTCAAAACTGTGGGGTTTCTCTGTGCTGCTGCAGAAGAGGCTGTGCTTGTGCTTTGTGATGCTGCTTGCGTTTGCTCTGTACGGAGAAAAAGGAGGAGGAAAGAGGCAGAGCATCCGCCTGGACACTGATGACACGGACTGGACAGAAGGGGGGAAAAAAAGGGGGGGAGGGCGGGCAAGCAGCTGCCTGCTTTCAGTGGTCTTTGCATGCTATTACCTGATAGACCGTGAGCTAAAGACATAGAAGGGAGACAAAACTGAAGTGAGAGCTCAAAACACGTGACCGAAAGATCGTCTTCCTGGAGATGGCAGCAGAAATTGTAACAGCAGGATGGGTCACCTGGCCGAAAGGTAACAGGGACAGGAGAGCTGAGAATGATAGAAAGGGTATGCAAGAATTGCCTTTTTTTCCACTCTTTGTATAGAGGGTAATATAATGGAATTCTCTATGGTACAAGTGATTTGTAATAAAATTAAGAGAAGAGAACTTAAAGACAAAAGGTTGTGGCATGCTGTTGAAATTGATGGATAATTGGTAGCAGGGTTGGATGAGGTGGAAAAAATGAGGTCAGAAATAAATTACTGGAAGTCATGGTAGTAGAAGAAATTCTTCAAAGACGTGGAAGAGACAAAAGTATATTGCAGATAAGTAGGAGAGGTAACAGTAGGAAGGTAACACAAAGTTTACAGGTACATACATAAAAGTTCCAGGCATTGGTAGTTACTGGAGGTGCCTGATGTTAGGGTCTGGTCTGCTGAAGGAGCTCCATCAGAGACAACAGGCTCAACATCAGTGCAGAGACTGAAGGAGATATGCTTGAACAAAGACTGAAATTTTGTGGTAAAATATCTCAGGGAAGGGGAATAGGAAACCTAGACCAAAGTCATGAATCAGTGAGAGAAGGTAATCTGGGCAAGAGATACAGGAGAGGTTTTCCGTGCAGTTGATCTGAGCTACCAAAAGATATTGGAGACAGAGCAGGGGATTGATAGAAATCGACGGGGTTATGATGTAATCACAGAAGCCTGCAGGATCAAGAGTTTGAAGTGGAGAGAGTAGGAGTTTTGTACTAGACCAGAAGGACGTAGCAAAGGCAGTAAGTAATAGGACCGAAAATACTAATAGGATCAAAGGGCTAAAAACTATTGAGACAGGAGTTGGAGGCAGCAAGAGTAGACTCATCATTCACAGTAGGGGTTGGGCTGCTGAAATGTGAGGGTGAAGAGGTTGCCAGATGTGAATGAGGTGTTGGGAGGAGGAAAGGAAGAGGGTGGTAGGTTATGGAACATTGGGTGGGGAAGAACCAGGTTTTATCTGCTTGAAAGGAGGAAAAGAAAAGGTGCAGAGATCATTGCCACAACAATAAACCACTGAGAAACTAGCAGAGGGAGGAGGTGGGAACAAAACTGAGTGGAGGTCTTTGAGTGAGAGTTAGGAGGTAGTGGAGAGGGAATAAGGCGACCATACGTAGCTGTAAGTTAAAGGTAGGGCAGGATTTGGGGAGGGAAAGAAATCTCCTCCTTGTTCTTCCCCATCTGAAAATCCTAACTCATCAAGCCATCGAGAAGAACGTGGGGGTGGAGGGGAAAAAAAAATAAATCCCAGAACAGCATGATCTGGGCATGCACTAAAAAAAACACACAGGGGGGGTGGAAATCAGAAGCTCTTAAATGCCTAGACTGTAAAGAACATAGTGGAAGAAAGGAGGGAGTTTTTGTAAAAATAAATAAATAAATTGGGCATCCTGCGAAGTAACCTACTTTGGGTTTGAAATGATCATTTATCTGCGTGGCTAGGAGGAGCCACTGGCATTGCAGCAATTTAGCTGTGCTCAGAAAGGGATGGAAAAAAAATCTCGAGGTCTGCATAGACAAGAAGGAGTTAATGCTTGTCGAGCATTATTCTTATACAAATTAAGTCCTGAGCACAGCAGCAGCCTCACCAGCAGGAGCAGATGCTAGGCAGTGATGCAACCTGTGTTATTTACTTAGGCCTCTGTAGTGACCTTAGTGGCTTACAGACAAAGGATACACATATCTGGAGGTAGGTAGCATGCTGATAACCTTCTTTATTCAGTCCTTTTTCTTTTATTGCAAACAAGATCCTGTAATCATCTTGCGTGGAGCAACAGGAGAACTGTGTATTTTTAGCATGGTTTCAGAAGGAGGAAAAAAAAGCCCCCAAAGAACTGATTCAGATTTGCTTTCTGGTTTTGTACCAATATAACCAGGAACGTTTAGAAGCCATGATGCGTCGGTCCCTTGAACGCAGCCAGCAGCTGGAACAGAAGCAGAAGCGATGGTCGTGGGGAGGAGCACTGGCTGCAGGCTCAGGAGGGAGAGACGGTAAGTGAAACAGGCTGCCTGCATTGCAGATCTTGAAGTGCAGAATGCATGAGGTTGTGGAGATGGTAAGGATGATGCATTTTATAGTTAGGGTGGTACTGTAGGAGCTACTGCCTTGGGGCGTGAATAAATGCTTTGTAATTGCTTGCCAGGCTTCCTTTCTCTAATACCTTCTGGGGAGAAAGGTCACTCCTAACTTTAGGAATGCAGACCATTTTAATAGAGTAACCAGAATCTGTTTTGGAGGATGCTAAATGCTAAAATTAAAATTTATGCGCTCTCTCCCTTATTCTCTTCCCCCGCATTGTCTTCTCACGCACACAGTTAGCAAATTTAATATTCGCCAAAGGACTGAGTGCTGTCTAAGCCTTGCAAAAGATGATCTGTTTTTTGTTTGGTACTTCTAAAAACCTGACGGGAATTTCTAGATGACTATGCAGCATGTGCAGTTTAAAATAGTTTGTTTTTTTCCCCCACATACTTTTTGTTGCTGCTCTTTTTGATTTGGCTTCAGAACAAATTCTTTTTGTTACATAATCAGTCATGTACTGCTTTTATATTTCAAAAAGATGCATGTTTTCTGTTTTAAATCATATAATTTATTTAAATTTGTCAGGCTTGAATAAACTGATGTTATGGGGAAAAATATCCACGTTTGGGTGATGATGAAATATGACAGTTACTCTCTTTTAAACAGTGTGTAAAAATACATAACTCTAAGAAGGCAAACTCTGTTTCACATCATAGTTTTCACAGTATGCCATCCAAAAAAGCCAGGAAATTGAATATATATGATAATAAAAGAAGTCTTTTATACTTCGAGAAAGAAACCAGTTTGTCTTTGTGATGCAGTTTATGCTTAATTCCAGCTCCCCCAACTTATTCAGTAATTTTTTTCACCTCTTTTTGCTCTGATTTCTCTGCTGTGTAGGTGAATCAGAAAATACCCCACCCCCTGTTCTAGGTTTAGCTGCCAACACCCTTCCTCCAGACCCTGTGACCTCTACTGCTCCTGCTGATTCCTTCAATGGTATTTCAGAGAATCACAGTACCATCGTGTCTCGTTTATAACTGTTCTAATCACTGTAATCCATCCACTGATCTTGTCCTTCCTAACCACTGTTTTCTTATTATTTCAGTCTGGTACTCTACGGCATTACCCTTAGCGATGTGGACCAAATGTCTTTTTAATTTCCTTTTAATTTTGCCATGGTGGAGCAGTGCATGCCTCGCATTCCAGCACAGTAGAGGCATTTCATGGTTTTCTCACTAACTGTAGACTTCTACCGCTCAGATTCTCATCTCTGTTAATTCTGTGGGTGCTCTGTGTTTGTATGTGTGTGTAAATAAAACTACCCGTATATTTGACAGTTCTAATGGACATGCACAGGTGCAGGTGGTGTTGAAAAAAAAAAAATTCAGTTGCACAGTAAGAGAAAATGTGTTATGGAGACCATGTTTCATCAAAACAGTCCTCTTTTTCCATCTCAAGGGCCTTTTTCTGCAGTATTTCACAAAGAAGCAAATTTGGTATAAACAGCCAATGCTGTATTTTCAGCCTCCTGAAGTGGATTTTGGCCAAGCTGCCATTTGTAACAAACTCAAGTAGTTGATGTTGTTTAGGCAATCGCATTTTGTTTTCTTTTGTTTTCTTCAGTTATCTTTTTTTAATTTTTATTATAAAAGGACTTTATTTTTTATTATAAAAGGACTTTTTTATTATAAAGGGACTGTGAAGTAGATGAGTGCTCCAAAATTAAGAATGGATTGCATACAGGATTTCTAATTTTGATTGCAGATGTACTTGGCATTTTGAAGACGTAACGCAGCCTGTGCTTTTAAGAACTAGGTTCCTTCTCTCCCCCCAAAGGAGGAGCTAGGCTTGAATATTACTCCCGCAGAATGCACAGTAAATGTCCTGCCCATGCTCTCACAGAACTATTATTTCTATGCAAACAGATTCAAATTTTTGTACTAATTGCTGTTAATGTACAGAGAGATTTGGATGTGCAACTGATGCTTTGTAGCATACCAGCATGGTACCTGCTTTTTTAAAAACGCAAATGTAGAGAATTGTGTTGTTTACTGTAGTAGATGGAGGCAAATGTTGCAGACCCCACTGAGGCAACGTTTCAATGGATGTAATAGGGGATGCAGTAACTTAAGGGTTGCAGAATCAGGGCCACATATAAGTCTTTAGCTGAAAGTATTTTTGGTTTTGAAAGAAAGAAAATTCAAATTTAAGGGACAAAGCATTTATACCTTTAGCTTCTGAGCATCATGCAGTGATCGTCATATAGTAGTACATTGTAGTAATATGTGAATAACATTTTTCTGTCATTCTGTTGAATAAATGGCAAGGTAGGAAATAGATATTTGTTCAAACAGACTTTGTCAAACAGTATTTTGGAAGAAATAACAGAAACAAAAATGAAACCACTTGAGGTAGTACCAAGAAGCTTTTTTCTTTAAAAAAAAAAAAAAAATTCTAACGCAAAAAGATAAAGCTAAATGGCTGGTGCCAGATCAGTCATTAAAACAGTTCTCATCATGCAAATGCACAAATGTTGATTCTTGTAATTTCATTTTTGTATTAGAGTAATACCTGAGGTCTACCCCAGCTCTTCCAGACTGAAAGTAGAGGGGAGGGGGAATGGAGGGGAGGAGTTCAGAGTTGCCATATGTGCAGTTCATTTTCTTTAGGCAACTTTCTGCTTGTGCTGGTATTTGAATATCTTGTATCAGAATGGCTTCACTCATTCAGACCTGATATATAATTATTTGCCTGTGGCAGTATAAAAGATAGGCTACTGTAAAACTGAAATGTTGAATTCACAAGCAGAAAAGTTGCATCCCAAATCACGTCTTATAAAATGCTGGTCCTCCAGCAGTCAGAAAGAACTTACCTCATGCCTTATTCAGTGCTATGATCAGTGGCAAGGGCCAGGAGTACAAACACGAGGTTAATTTTGGGAGTTTATCAACACTGTGATGTGAATACAAATATCTTCAATGCGTCTCTCTGCAGCATGTGACAAACTTTCAGCTTCTACAATGAATCTGCCAAAGCAAATGGAATCGCCAATCAGTAAGCGCCTCTCCTCCTCCACAGCGGCAATAACGCATTCCCCCGACAGAGGCAAGTGAATATGCTGGTCTCCTACCAGCATAAACTCCTTCTGCTTAAAGCACTTCTTGTCCATATAGCTATGTAACTCGCTTATGTCCGTTCTTCAAAAGAACTCAAACATTTGAGGGGTTGTAAGTTAATACAATGAAATAGTTCTGCAGCCTGTCTGTCCCAAGACTGTGCTGCCGTGCTGGAGAGCCTAGGCCAGCAATGAACGCTGTGGGGTTTTTTTACTGATTCTTTTTCAATTTTTGATACTCCAGCAAACAGGATTGTGAGCACATGCTGCGGCTGCAGCAATTTCCCGTAAGTGTACAGCTTGTGATCTTCTAGCCAAATAATGAAAAACAAGCAAACCAAACATGTGGCTCGACAATAGACATGGGTTGTGCCGTGGGCAGAAGTACGTCCCATGAGCCACCTGGGAGACTTCAATCTGGTGACCAGAGTTGTAGAGCCCTTTAATTTGATTTGAAACCCTGATCCATCAGAGGCTCAGGAAAAGATGATCATCTTGCAAGATTAATGGTTACTAAACACTACAGAGAGGACTGAAGGGTTTACCCCACTGTGAACCCTTTGGATTTTTTCGGTTGGTTCTGTGTGTCTTTCTTCCTTTTTCCCCTCTTTTTTTTAAACTCTAACAAAAAAAAAATTTGAAATAAGTGACAATGAAGGCTTATTTCTAGAATGAAAAGAAGGTAAATTTACTTTCATTTCTGAATTGCTTAATGAAAACTCATCAATAGCTTTGAGGTTATTATGATAGGTGGCTCTATGTTTATGCGTGTAATAGGAACATCTATAAATACCTTTCTTATATGGTTGACGCTTATATTTATGGAGTACGAAAGAATGCAGGCATATTGTATAAATAAGACTTATATAATGTGGTGAGACTGCAAATTTTAAATGCAGTCCCGGTATGGCTGGCACACTAGTGAGTAGCTGCGCTGTTATACCAAACATTTCACCTATTCTACTGGGGAAAAAGGCAAACCTTTTTCATGCTGAGTCATGAAAGCAACCATTTTGCAGAAGGGAACATGCCTCTGTGTAAGAACAAAATGCAGCACGGTCTTAACCTTACTATATTTATTGTACATGTGGGAAAATAATTTAAAATTATGGAGAAACTAGAAACCTTTTTTTCAGAGGTAATTAAAATTATCTTTAAATATTTTAAATCTCAAGAACTTCAAGATTTTTTTTTCATTTCACTTAATCATTTCATCATTTTGTTTCAGTTATTTTAATGTAACATTGTTTTATTTCTTTGCATTTTAAATTTTACTTTATTTGCTCCCATCCTTCAGCTCACCGCATGCATCTTAGTCCAATGGAAAACTTTATTGTTTCTCGACTGCTGACTCCCACACAGTCATCTCTAGCCAGAAGCAGAAGTACATTAATGCTTTCTGAGCAGTACAGTAATCCAGGTAAAAATGTGAATTGCTCACTTTGAAACCGTTAAGGTATGTTTTTGGTTGCATTTGAGTAGTTGCTGAAAGAAATGGAGTATTATGAACCAAATGACAATTTACATGATAGTACAAAATCAACGATGAACTAAGTTGTTCATGATAGCAGTGTATTTAAAGGCTTGAAAAAACACATCATCTTGTCTGTCTTGTTCTGGATGTCTTTTTTTAAAAAGAACATAGCTTTAAAAAGAACAAAAAATTGAATTGACAAAATCACTAAAACCTAAGCCAATGGAAAACTGAATATATTCATTTAAGAAATAGTTTTTTGGACCAGTGTGTGACACCTCTCAGCGGCTTTGTTTGATATATTGTCATCCCCTTTCATACCCAAATAGTATGTAGGACAAAAATCCCAGTGCACCATTTGAGCCTTAATTATTTTTACTAGGGTTCCAGTTCTTTGCTGTTAAATTACTTCTTGCCTTTAACTGAGTGACTGTACGTGTATTTTGATATATATATATGTGTGTGTGTGTACAGATACAAAATGATACTTAGACAGAGCCACTGACAGGAAGGTGTCAGTTCCAGAAATTATTGATCTTCAAGAAACTAAAAATTAGGGTTGATAGTTACTGTTCCTATCTGTAAATGGCAGTCTAATAAAACCCTTATTTTGCAAACATCTACAAAACTAATGTTTCCAGTCCTGCTAATACTTAGGCATGCCTGACTTCCAGAGTAGTTCCTACTTATAAAGCTCTACCTGGTCATAGTGTTTGCCGAAACAAGGACAAAAGTTTAACAGCTGTTTTTACTTTTATTAAAAACAAAAAACCCCCCACCCCAAACCCCCCACCCAAATGCCTGTCTGCAAAAGGAAACGTATTATCAGGATAAAACTAGTTAGACGGTAAAAGACTGATCATGTTTATGATCAGTATTTTCATACACCATGGTTGAAATAGGCTCAGGTCCTGCATCTGTGCTTTTAATACAAAGCTATTTAAAAATGAATTGCAAAGTAAGCCTACTTTCCTTTGTGTGTTACTACTTTGTTACAGTGCATAGGGACATTGATATTGAATGGCTCTAAAATTACTTCCTTGTTTCTACATTAAAAGCAGCATCTGTTGGAAGCAGAAATGTTGTCATACAGTACTTGACCCATGAGAAAATTCCCAGTTTACTTACTGTTCAGGGATCAACTACTGCTAAGACTGAACAAAAGCCAACTCGAGATTAGATGAGTATATTCTGCTTAAAATTTTGAGGTGAATTGCTGGGGCCACCTACAGATGTTGTTTTCCGTGCTGTATTTGATATTGGAGAAATCAGTAGGGACTTTCTTTGTCCTTCCCCACTCGTTTTGTTTGTAAACTCCCAGCTTTATCTCTCCATCGCAGGATCTTTAAGGTAGCATGCTGGCATGTCTGACAAGGATACAATTTGGCCTGCAAACTGCTTTTTCCCTGAGCTGAAACAGGAGTGCTGATTCTGGGAACAGTTCTCTGAACCAGCATCCTCTTGTCACTTCCTCGCAAGGCAGTCAGGCTGTAGCACAGGTTGCAAATGGCATCAATAGTCAGAGTGGCCATTGACGGTTTTGTCAGTAGTTGCCAGCAAAAGGGTTGAGGGAGATCTCCCATTTGTCATGTACTTTTCTCCGTAGAAGTAGCTTCCTGAACAGGGAAGAGAGTTCTTCCTTTTGAGGAGCTCATACTGTGCCTCATGTCATTATATTTGGGTCAAAATTCCTCTGCTCCTGCATTTTCTGTAAGCTTAGAAATGAGGAGTCTCAATTTAAGACTCTTTCTCTAGGGCAATGCATTATTAATGTCACTCTGAGTCAAGACATTCAGGCAAACAGTTGTTATTGGACACTTATAATTAAATTTTTTTTACAGTTGAAGTAAAAATACTTATCTTAAGCAGCATTTAAGTTTCTGAACATTTTTCTTAATATTCAGTGAACTTTTGCCAACTTGCTGGAAAGCCAGTCAAAGAATACACATAACCAGTTAAACTTACAAGCATACAAAAAGGCTTCATAAGAAATTTTATAGGAATGCCCCCAATAAAAAAAATACTGCAAATGTGAATTCCTTCACATTTGAGCATAATTACTGCTTTTCCAAAGTCAATATCCTTCCTGACTTCAGTTGAGTAAGATTGGAAACACGCTGTCACATGGATGGCTACAATTAGTGTCTGTCTTATTAATAAAGCATATACTCTGTTGATTGTTCTATATGTATGTGAAAGTTTCATCTTAGAAGGCAATATGAACAAAAACGGGAGTAAAATATCCCATTTAAAAAAACCCTGTTCATACTGCAAATAAAGAAAAAACCACCCAGAAGGAGTTGCCCTGTAAGTTGTAATGCATGTGTTGCACCCAAATTGATGTCTACCACAACTAACAATAACTGAAATACCTACAGCACCATTTAGTTTAGGTTTGGTTTTGGGGTTTTTTGGTTGTTTTGTTTTGTTTTTTTTTTTTTTAAATTAAGTAATATTTTGAAAAGCAATTAAGGTATTTAGGAGCCTTTGCCATGTTTAGGCTTTAAAAAAAAAAAAAAAAATTAAATTCCCTACTCTTCTGTCACCTTTCCTGTTTTGCAGTATTTGTTCAAAAGTCACCCAGCTAGAATTGTTTGATTACTCCTTTTTATCCTATGCAAAGGAAGCTGGACTTTTCAGAAGGAAAAAGAATCCTGGTCATAGTCAGGTCATTCAAAAGGTATATGAGTAAGAGAGCAATATTTTAGACATGATTTTAAAAAAATAAAAGACCTATAAAAATGTTACTTTCAGTTGAGGCATTTTTAGTAAACGTGGGACCATGCTGAATGTGTATATAATGACATCTTTTGAAGCACTTTTAAAAAAAAAAACTTTGAAAACTACCTTTGAACATCATAACATAAAAGTATGCTGTTTTCTCCTCTCCTTTACTTCCTCTGTCTGTGCTCCCTTTTGCTCTTGCTATTGTACTATAACTCTTTAGTATTCCATATCTGTCCTCGTGTAGCACCAGCTAGTCCTCTTAAATCTCCCTACAAGCCTTCCCCCAGCCGAAGCACTGACAGAAAGAAGGCAACTTCACCCTCCACTTCCGATGCCATGAAAGGGGCGGCTGCAGCTGAAGTTACTCAGGTGGGTTTGCAATGGTTTTGATTTCACTTCTGGGTAAACTGATGCGGCTTCTGGTTGTTGTCTTTCCCTTTATGTTCATAAAAATAATGTTTCTGTTGTAAGAAACAGCAGTAAGAAAGTAAGCCTTGCATGCATCTGTTGCTTTCCTGCTCCTATTTAGCAGCATTTTAGTATCTTCCTCCTCCTGGGAATCAATGTTGAGCACTGGTATTTGGAACAGCAACACCTTTATTTTCAGGGAACTGAAATTTCTGGCACTGGTGTATGTTTCTGGACTTGCCTGTAACTTCTGGGAATGGGGATGACAAACAGGGATCTCTCTGAGTATGACTATCCAGTCTTGCTGGTTAATTAGCAAGCTTCACATATTTTGGAAACTTGCCAAGTGTATTGACAATGCCTCTGTTTTATACCAATTGCTTAACTCTTTCTGTGGACATTTTTAATGCTGTTTGCTTAAAAGATGCATTATTGACCCACTGTAGTTTCCAGAAAAGCAAAGGCAAGTCATTCACCTTCACTGAGTCTACACAATATAAGGCATGTTTTAAAAAATTTATGCTAGGGCTGTAAAATTCACGTAAGGTGCTGTGTCTGGCAATAGTTAATAGTAGGGGGATTCATGCCATCTAAATTAGACGCAAGTGAGAGGACCAAAGCTGGGAGCTAAAGATTTGTGTAGTGTCTTTCTTAGGTATGATTCACAGTGTTAGATCCAGCAGCATTGCTGCGAGATGCCGTGTCTTAAGAGGCATTGCAGGAGCATATAGATGATTTTGAAAACTCCATCCAGTGCCACTGCCCCTCCCAAGAACTCTTGGAGAGGCTCTGATGTGGTGTTACTTATCTGCAACTTGTATGCTATGTCCATGCAAGAAGACATGGTTGGGTTTTTTTGTGTCTATGTAAAATAAAAAACTATGCACCTCAGTTGTGAGCTGGTGTTTAAAAACCTTTTATCTTAAATATGTTACACAAATCTGTTTTATGCCATCTTGTTAATAAAACTATCGAATACATCTTTGATGTGTTGGTCCTAATTATGGAAACTAAAATGAACTGTGTTTCTAGACTGAGAAGATAAAGAAAGAGAAGCGACCCGCAACACCTGGTTCATCATCTGGTATGGGATCTCCTCTAAGAAGGTCTGATTCTCCTGCTGCCATGTCCAGAAGATCTGCATCACCTGCAACGCCTAAGTATGCCTTTCTTATTAGTGGTCTAATAAGCTGTGAGCCTCTTGTTACCTATAAAGGAGGCATAGATTCTTGAGGAACTTCCTTTGAAGAGTTGTGTAAAATGTAGTTAATTTTAGTTATACATACACACATATACAGATGGAGAGAGAGGGGGATGTAGATGAACAGATATAATATATGTAAAATTATGTTAGTGGTCACTAGAGACACTTCTCTGCCTTTTCTCAGTCTTCTGAAATTATCACGGTGCATTTCATAATTCTTGTGAAATTTTATTTAACATTTCTTTTTAAACATGCTTTTGTTTTATTTGGTTTTGAGGAAACTGCCTAATGTGAAGAAATGCACAGAACATGAGTACTAACTAGAAATTCCAGCATTTAATATGCATTTCCTATTGCTGGCATGGCCATCTGGTTCCATAAATATACTTAACTATGCGTCATCTAAACCATGGGGTTTAATCTTTGCTTATTTGCAGACCTCTGTGGGTTTGTTGCTTTTTGTTGTTGGGCTTTTTTTCATGCAGAGTTGTCCTACAGCATATCTGGGCTTACTACCAATTGAGTTGCTTTTCTTAGTTGTCTTTTGCAGACACTCAAAACTGTAGTCCGTGTACCACAGCTTGCAACTCACTAAGCAACCATGTCTTCAGCTTTCTTAGAACAGGATATTAAGTCTGGCTCAAAAGGAGAAGTATGCTGAAGTAGTCATGGTCTACAGTAGTTGTCTGATTTTTTTGGATTTTTTGTGGGGTTTTTTTTCCCCCTAGACCCTGTTCATGGGTCCTGCTTCTGTCTTGAAAGTTATTACCTTTTGTCTGATTTTTTTTTTTTTTTTTTTAATCTGAACCTGGCCATATTCTGAACCAGTCTTGGTGATCCCCTTCCTGATAAATTTCTTCTGCTTCAAAAACTAGCTGGTGTTCCTTTTCTGTTTCAGTTCTGAGTGCATAGCCCTTTAACGGAGGATGATTTTGTGTGTGAATCTGGTGTTAGACAAAATACAGGAAACCATCTGACTCTGGGCATTCTTTCTGTTTTAGACATCCCCTTGCATGCAACTGAGAAGTTGGAATTCTTGATTTGTATTACAGGGCTACAAATTCTCAAATTTACAACACTATATATATATAATGTTGTCAGATTCTGAACTACGTAAATTTTGTGAAGAATGGAATGATACGAAATGTTAATGACAATCAGCTTTTTTTGGTTATCAGCTTTTTGTGGTTATAATTTTGAGCAGATCACTGACTAGTGGCACTCCAAAATGTACAGAGGGAAGTTTGAGCTATAAAAATGTATATTATTCTGTAAGTATTGATATTCCCTGTTCAGAATGCGTCTTTCAGTTTACTCAGCCAGTATAAAAGACATACCAAGAGATATATTTAGTTAAGCAAAATGATTGGTGGGAAATGGATTGCTGAGAGTGAAGCACTTCTTGATGGGCAGACATTGCAAAGGTTGGTATAGCTCATCATAGAGACATCGGGGAGGGGGAGGGGGAAAATTTTTGTGAAACGAACAGACGTTTAGTGCTTCATGAAAAAAGTATGCCCTGTCTTAATTTGTAGCACTAATTTCCATAAAAGGCTAGGCAAAGATGGAGACTTTTTTCCCAGAGGTGCAAATTATGAGAACCTTTTTACAGTAAAATGTTTTCATGCCTGTAAGGAATGTGAACTACTGTTTTTAGAGGGAGAAGCAGATGATGTAGGGAGGAATTAAGAAGCCTACTGGTGGGTTTCTCTGTGATTGTGAGCCACAGCAGTTATCCTCTTTTTTTTCTTTTTTCCTCCCTCACTTCCTCAAGAGAATCTGATTCTGACTACTGCTAGAAAGGTATTACTGAGCATTTAATCTTAACGTGGCCCAAGTAGAACGCCCTCCTTGACCTTACGAGAGATACAGTAAACAGAGTTTAAATCCATGTTTATTACTGACTGCAGAAAGACAGTTCTGCTTCAGCACTCTCGAAACTTCCCCTCAGAAATTTAAAATAAAATAAAAAAGGCGTCCCAATCACCGTATTATATTATTATATGAAGATATGCATTTCTTCATACAACTCAAATGCCAGATAACGATCTGGCTGGTCAGTGGATTTAAATATAGGTAGTCAGGCTTTTGGAACCTTCCTTTAGATTGTATAATCTTACCTTTTCATTTAAAATTAACTGTGGAACTTAAGTATGATTTTAACGTGACTAAATATGTAGACAAATACTCATTCTCCTTGCAAACCTGACAATCTTTTACAAGTTTAATCTTTCTCCTTCCAGCACACCATATGGCCAAAAAAATACCCTGGAAGAAATAAGAATACATATTGTACAGCATTAGTAGTTAGTGATACTGCACAGCACCTTAACTTCGAAAGCTGTTGAGGAAAGAATCAAGTATGGCCAGTGATTTAGATGATAATTAGCTGTATGCATTTTTCTTCTTAAAAGTATGTGACTTGACATTCAAGTTTTCTTGGTATGTACTAGTTATAGTTCTTCACAGTCATCATCTTGTTTTGTGAGTGGTAGTTGCTTGTCGTCTTTGTATGTTATTTCATTATTTACTAATTAAAAAGCTCTTTTTATCATGGTAAAGTAACTGAAACAGGCTCAAACAAGACAATAAAACTTCAACCTAAAGAGAGACAGTGATTGATGGCAGAATAGGTTTGCAATAATTACGTAAATAAAATACAAATGTTTGAAGGTACAAATTTTACTGAGAAAGTAGAAAAGATCAGCCCAAAACATAATGTCCAAGACAAAATGAGTGAACAAATACGGACCTGAAAAGGGGAAAAAAATAAAAATGTTGAGCAATAATTAAAAGCAAGGAAGGTATTCAAAGCTTGAAGATATTTGAAAAAGTAAATATATCAAGAAATGTCACACAAGAAAGAAGCCCAAAACTATTGCTTTGAATCCAGTGTGGATCAGTTGACAAAGATGAAAGTTAATGGATTAGAGAGCTGGGATAGTTGAGAAATTATCTGTTATTTTTACAATTGCTATTGGATACTGATTGCGTAAAGTGCTCCTGTTCTTCAGATCTTTCACAAGATCAATAATACCAGGTTTTTTGGTAAATTTTTTTTGATGCTTCTTCTTCAAAGATCTATACATTAATTGGTTTATTCTTGCAGTATCCCTCAGAGAATAAGTAAGCGTCCTATTTTATAGATTGGCAAAGCAATAAAGCCTGCGTCCTTCACACGTCTTTGGGTAAATAGTCCCTTTGAAATCAATGGGACCTGACTGAATCAAGGAAGTAGGATTTAGTTTTAAGTGTCTTCAGATAAGCCATAGTATAAGCCAGTGGATAAAAATGGAAGGCTCTGACAAGCCTCTATGTTACATTATTTTGCCAAAGCATTACCTCATATGAGAAGGAGAAAGGGGCGGGGGGGGAAGGGAGAATGGACTGCAGCGCTGCTGGTGGGTGGTGGTTCTCGGTTCATTTCCAGTTGCCGGTCTGTGTCACTGTCCTTTGCTCACAGTTTCACTAACTGAACCCCTAACTTGGTGGGTTTTTTGGGTGACATTCCACTGCAGCCATTGGGACACACTTTGACGTCAGAAATGCACATGCTCAGTCAAATTACAGAATACCGATGAAATACGAACCTAAAGTTGTACAAAAATCCCAAACTTTTAAAGTTTTAAAAATGACCCACTAGAAAGGTGTCTGCACGTGGTAAATTCCTCACAGAAGTAGCTTCTATGTCCTGCAGTGACCTAGTTTTAGGTTTTATTTGATATGTGCTACATTTACTACTTTTGATCTTTGTTTTGTCTTGGAAAGATGAAAACAATGGGTAGAATGTTGGATCAAGACTATTTTGAGGTTTTTTCAGCCGCTAGCTAGAGAATGGTCCAATTCAGGATTTTGAAAACATCTGTAATAATGCAGCTATCAGAATAACTTTTCTGTAGACCTGTGCTGAGTTTGTGCTCTTTTAAGAACTGTAAAAGAGAAATTAATCTGTCTCTGGCTAGAATAGATCAAAACTAAGAGTGAAAGAAAACTGCTTTTGAGGAAAATATCACAGATAGCAGAGCAAAAATGTCAGAATCCAGGAATAGCTTGTGATCAGAGCAATCTCAGAAAGCAGGCTTGAGAACATGCAAGTCCTTGGTGTGGTTTCAGCAGAGCTTTTGTTGAATTAATAGGGAGATAGGGGGAAAAAAACAATGCAGCTCTGGCATTGCTGCAGATTTCTGATTTAAAGTCAGCCTTCTGAACCGCTGTAACCGATGACCTGTCACATACCTGACTTTGCAAGAAAGCATGCTGTTCTCTCCCTTGCTGTTTATGGACAAAATTGGGTGTGACCTCTGACTTATATGTGCTACATGCACTTTATTTTCTATGCTTAGCAAAAGTAAGCTCAGAACCCCTCTTACGCTCTTCCTGAGACATTCTTCTGCAGTATGGACTATCCCTCTTTTAATTAAATAAGAGCCATTGTAATTTAAGGACCAGTGGATTCTCAGACCTGATAGAGGTTCTTGCGGTGCACGTAGGGGCTCATGATGGGAATGGCTTCTTAGAAGCTGCTGCCCCCATGTCAACACAGGGTGGTTAGGTGAGAAAACTAAGACCTCCTGGAAGGGAGGAAGATGCTTCCTGTACTTCTGTATTCCCCTGTAAAATCTAGTGACTGAGATGAGCGAACTTTCAGACAACTAACATGCTACCACTTCTTAGATTTTGGGGAGTTGTCGCCTTAATTCTCTGATCCTCATCAGGCACACTTCTGTGTTCCCACGTTCTTACCAGGGTTTCAATACATCCCTTTCCTTTTCTTTCAAGGCTAAAATAAAACACTTTTTAAGCCTAAGCAGACCCCTATGCAAGCGTTTATACATTTTCCCTTAATAATCCCATTTTTCTATCTTCACAGTCAAGTTTGGCCCTTTCTGGTATAAAGTAGCATAATTTAAATAGTATTAGAAGGAGTGGGCTTTTTCCAGTAACAATTCTGCCTGTGTCTAGGAATGTTAAAGATGCTAAGTTGACAATATGTTTTAAATACAAGGGGGAAAACAGTGTTCATTTAATACTTTCTACTGGCATCCAATAAATGATTTAAACTTTCTGAAAAAGTATTCTTATTTCTGATGGGCTTTCTCAGTTTTTCACTCCTCGCACTACACTGTTGTCGTCCTTGCAGTTATCAGTCTTTTATATGCTTCTCCCTTTTAGTTGCTTTAAAACAAGCAAAGCCATACTTGTTTTTTCTGGCGGAAGAGCCAGTAAGAAAAAATTTCTGTAGGTCTAAAAGTTCAAAGATGCATTACTTAAATAATAGATTCAGCACATGTTTCTAGTCCAACAAGTAAGTTGTGTAGCCTGTCTGCTCTAATTCCCATGCAGTGCAAGATACATAGCTGTCATGACTAGACTTCTTCCTACCAACCTTTTTAATTTGATTGTCATGTCTTTATTAGAGAACAATTACTTCTGTGCTAATACTGAAAATGACTCAGCCTTGGTTATGTGACTGTTTTGCTCCTCCTGTCACAACAAGTTAAATAAAAAGTATTGCAAGGAATGTGTGGTAAAGTTGGAAATGTAAACCAAAGACAGCAAGAAGGGACTATGCTTTGAAGAAGTGTCTGATTAGCAAGAAGCATCCTCTGTGCTGCAGAGAAGCATAAGAAAGGTTGTTTGCTTTTTCTTTACACATTATATTTTTATGAGATGCAGTTGGAAATGACTGTAATGGTGAGGCACATACGAGATGTACATATGTAGGTGGGGCCTTGAAATCTCTGCCTTTGTCTTTAGGAGGACCTGGGAATCCATCTATATCCTAAAGAGAAAACTAAAGACAATGCTAAAACCAGATCTGGTCAATACCAACCAATCTCATTGGCTTCTCCCATTGCTGGTTTTTTACAAGCAATGGAATTTTTTTACAAGACCTGGAAACAGACTTGCCTGTCCACGTCTTCCAAAGCCTGTTTCTGTCAGGGAGCAGCAGGAGCAGGTTGCCCTGCAAGGCAGGGTGAGCCAGGAGCCGTGGGTGGCAGCAGGGCAGGCAAGGACAGGGACCTCACCCACAGGACCCCATCCCACAAAAGACAAAAGAAGTGACCAGGGCAGGTCTGGCGATGGTGACCAGGGTCAGCCAAGAGTCCAGTGATAGCCAGCAAAGGCCTTAATGAGGCAGGTCGAAGGACAAGCCAGGACATCAGGGCAGGATCAGCAGGTTAGGAGGCCGGGTACCGGCGTACCTACAGCTTAGTTCAGGCAAGGACCAAGAGTGAGGACCTGAGCTGACAGGGAGCTCTTGGGCCTGCGGGCAGAGGGTACCTGAGCTGAACTTCAAATTTAGCTGGGTGCTACTGTTCCACCAGCCCAAGGGCTTTTTGGAGTCTGTGATGGCTCTTCAGTGGGAGTAAGAGAGTACGGGTGGTGCAATACTCTGCAGTCTTTTCTTCCCCACAAACTGGGCAGCTCTGAATGAGCTCCCTGTATTCTGGTGTCTCAACCTCTTTCACATGCAGCATAATATGTTAGAAAAGAACTCTTTCTTCTTCTGAATTCTTGAATTGGGGAGGAGTTGAAAGACGTTTAATTTTTGTCTCTCTGTAGTGCAAATGCTGTTCTGGTTATAATAGTCTCTGGCCACACAATATTGTAGCTACATCTATACAAATCTTTCCACTCTAGTCCATTAATTTTCAGCCACTGTCCATGTTTTTCATGCTTGTGGTCTGCCAGAATGAGTGTATAGTCCAGAAAACATGTTGTAGTATATGAAACTCTTATCGTGTAGATGAAAACAGTGGTGTGGGATAATACATTTCTATCATAATTGCATATCCATGAGGAAGGTTAAAACTACATGTGTAATGTTCACTTTAATGTAGCATTATTTCTTCTAATGGGACTCACATAAATCATTATTTTAAGATTGTAATCTCTTTAATTCCGTACCACTTAGTCACACAGCCCAGCCTTTCTTGATGTTACAAGTATTTAGTGCTAGTTACTGGTGTTACGGTGTTTGTGTGTGGTTTTATGTTTCCTTGTATTCTGTTCTCTTCAATGTGCACATATTTTCAGTGAATATCTAGTATCTTTTTCCCTTCTGCTTTCCCAGAGGTGACTTCAGGGTTATCATTTCACCTAAAGTATGCAACAGCCAAATGAGCCATCAGCTGCATTGCTGCTGTGCATTGCCATCACCACAGGTGCAGCCATGTAAAAGGTTGCAGGGGCTGAGTTTTGAGCCTTGAGTCTGTTGTGTTGGTGCTGATTAAAGCGCTAACTGAAACGGTGGAGCTGACTGTACAATGGTTTGGTCAGTTCTGTCTCTTTTTGTGGTGCCCAGCTTTACCTTGGTATATAGTAATATTTGGTGCTATTTTAAAAATCAGATACTGTTACAAAAAGACCGTGTTTGGGAAGGCTGTATTCAGATGAAAGCAGCACATTGCAACTCATGATAATTGCTGCAGAGAGAAAGCAGCCATAGCTTTGCTTTAAATGTTGAGACGGACTACTGAATACAGTAATGTTGACAAAACTGTGATGAAATGACCATTATGAAAATCACTGGGTTTAGGTAGTACATGATGTCATATCTCTTTCCAACAACTTGGACAGTATTATTGGTCTTTTTAAATGAGAATTTTCTGTAATCATTTGCACTTGCATGGCAATTCACTGCATTTCAGCAGGGATAACTGCTGAAAACAACTGATATTGCTATGTAGCCAGAGACAAGAAAGAATGATATACGTAAAGACAGAGCTTGATTCCAAGTGGCATAATGAATGGCCTGGTTTTGATTTTTGTTTTCCCTCATCAGGACAGTTGCAAAGACTTATCCTCAGTCTCCTAAAAACGCCAAACAATATCCAGCTTCTCCTGTGAAGCATCGTGCTACTTCTAATCTCAACCAGGAAACTCCTAAAAAGAAAGCAGACAAGGAGAAAGAAAACGTCAGTCATCAGAAATCCCCAGGAGCACGCACTGATGAGGCAGGCCAGGTGGCTTCTGAGAAGCATGTGCCTTCTGCAGGAAAGACTGAAAATAGTGAAGGTGAGTCTTACTGCAAGAATAAATTGCAAGGTATCATGGGTCCGTGAGGCTTTTAAACAGTGATGAACTGTTCTTTTTATGAAGCTGCTCAGTCATGGGTTTATGAGAATGTGTAAAGGTACATACTAGAACCAGTAAATGTATAGTTTTCACCAGGGTTACCCAAGTATGAAAAACACTTGTTAATGAGGATGTGAAAATGTTGAAATCCAGGGATGCCCTTACCTATCCCATACTCTATCTGCTGAAAATGCTGATGTATGCTTTTGAGAAGCAAAGGTGTCATACCAGCGTGAACCAGGCCCATTTTAGCCTCTGTTTGAGTGTGGAAGTGCTGGGCGCTCTCAGTTCCCTGCCTAACTTTCCACCCATGGTCGTCTTCTCCCAGGGAAGATCACGGCAGGAACAACTGATGCAGAAGAAGCCTCAAAAATTCTAGCTGAAAAAAGACGACAGGCCCGCCTGCAAAAAGAACAAGAAGAAAGGGAGAGACAGGAAAGAGAAGAACGGGAGAGGTATCTCTGTTGATTTGTGAAAATTATTACCTAATAATTTAACCCGTATCACTGAAGATGCTTGAAACTGTGGTGGTTTTAGAATCAAGGCGGGGGCTTACATGTAAGTGTTAATTTCTTTCAATTTGGACCCGTAGTTCATTATTATCTTTTGCAGTCTTTATGACTAGTGAAGTTAAAAAATAATAATTTGGCCTCTTTAAGAAGCCTGAAGAAACTTATTACTCATACAAATACTTCAGGTATGTCCACACTGCAGTGGATACCTGAAGTATCTTATTTTGTAAAAAAATATTTGAGGCAGTTTTAAATGAGCTAGTTCACGTAGAAGAAACAGTCTTGCAGTAGTAATGTATGCCTTAAATGGCAAGGCTTGTATCCTTCAACAAATTAACCTGAAGCTTATCTCCCTGCCCAGCTCTGTTGTAGGCAGTTGAGGGCTTTAAAAGCATGGGCATGATGAAGGTTGCTGTGTCTAAGCGGTGAAATTCTGGCTCTGTTCTGGGAGCAAGCTTTTAGGTCGTTCTCCACATTGGATGCTGGTTGCAAGTGTCAACAAATCATGCCCTTCGTTCAAGCTCCTAATATTGAATCACTAAGTCTGCATGTCTAAATTCAACTTTGTCTGTTCTTATTGAAAACATGGGGGGGAGTGGAAATTTGGAAGCATGTCCTGGATCCCTGATATGCGAGGATGAGAATGATCAGTTGTCAAAGCAGCTCTTGAATGTGGTGACAAAGGAGCATGATGTCCCTGAGTGGGCTGGGGAATAACACGGGTGGAATTTAGACCCACTCTTTCTAGTGTACCACTGTGTTTTGTGGACTTTGTTTGCTGCTACTTATCCAATCAGTTTATCTTTGGCTGAAACGAAGGAAAAAAGTACTTGCTTGTTTGTAGATACCAGCATTCTGGGTGTGAAGTACAGGAGAAGAGGGATGTTTTTATTATTGAAGCTCTAATTGAAATTAGAATGGAAATGTTCTCTTTTCTTTGACACCTTTTTTTTCAAGGGAAATTATAATTTCTAGGAAATATTTTAGGCAGTGAAAATAAGATTGGAATAAAAGTTTGATAGCAACCTGAATTCTGGGCATATGCTCAACCTCTCTGCTGTATCTTGTCGTTTTTCATGAAACTGTGCGCTGATGCATATATTGTCAATTACTGCTGATTGCGTGCCATACATACAGTAGGATTCATGTTAAACAAGATGAAACCTTTTAAACATACTGTTATATTTTTGCAGGCTTGAAAGAGAAGAACAGAAAAGAAAGGTAGAAGAAGAAAGAGAGAAGAGGGATGTTTTTATTATTGAAGCTCTAATTGAAATTAGAATGGAAATGTTCTCTTTTCTTTGACACCTTTTTTTTCAAGGGAAATTATAATTTCTAGGAAATATTTTAGGCAGTGAAATTGGAATTGGAATAAAAGTTTGATAGCAACCTGAATTCTGGGCATATCCTCTCTGCTTCTGCTGTATCTTGTCGTTTTTCATGAAACTGTGCGCTGATGCATATATTGTCAATTACTGCTGATTGCGTGCCATACATACAGTAGGATTCATGTTAAACAAGATGAAACCTTTTAAACATACTGTTATATTTTTGCAGGCTTGAAAGAGAAGAACAGAAAAGAAAGGTAGAAGAAGAAAGACTTCGTCTAGAGGAAGAAGCTCGTAAGAAGGAGGAGGAAAGAAAACGTGAAGAAGCAGCAGCTAAAAAAAAGGCAGAAGAGGAAGCCAGGGAAAGAGCCGAGGAAGAACAAATGCTAAAAGAAAAGCAAGAAAAAGAGCTCCAAGCCAAACTTGAGAAACAGGTACCATCTCAAACATGAATGTGAAACTTTACATACATATATATGTATACATATATTTATATATACATATAAATAAGTACTCTGTAGTATCTGGTAATCTGCCTGAAATAAATAATGGCCCTATCATATTTTGCACTTTTGATTAGAGGGAAGAAGCAGAAATCAAAGCCCGTGAGGCAGCTGAACAACTTCGTCTTGAAAGGGAACAAATCATGCAGCAAATTGAGCAAGAAAGGCTGGAGCGGAAGAAGGTAGATATTTGCATCTCATTTAAGAGAATTATCTCATTTCTTGTTTAAATGCATAACCCAGGAAGTACACAATAGTATCTAGAAATAATAATCTGGAGGGATTACAGATTGATGTTTATGCCTAACTTAGTATTTGCTACCTGCATGTTAGGGGAAAGCGGGCATTAAAATTTGTAACAAAGTGGAATTGCCTAAGGCAAACGACTTTCTACTAGGCACTGAACAAACATAGAATTAGCTTCTGCCCACAAAGTTAAATGCCCGAGACAAACAGGGAACGGCATGCCAAGACAAATGTCGAATGCCGCCCAACCCAGGACATCACAGACTATTGAGGAACATGAGTGACTTTGTTTTAAAATGTACACAACAAAAGCTCCATGTCATTAATTGAGAAGGTTAATGTGATTAACAAACAGGTTTTCTCCCACCTGGCTTGTCTCTGGTTGCATTACGCAGAGGCAGCAGGGCTGCCTGGCCATTACCGCACAAGGAAATGGCTGGAGCTGCATAACTTAGCTTTGTCTGCAGCTCTGTGGCAGGAAAGAGAGAACAACTGCAGAGCTGCAGAACCTCTGTCTGGTTATAAAAGGCCGTCTTTCCATATATGTTGTTCCAGTATGTTATTTTTAACTGTTCACCACTGAGCTGGAGGCATGTTGCAGCTGCAGATTAGAGTACCAAGTCAAAGCGTCTTTAAATTCGAAATAGTTTCCTTTCACACACTAGTGCAAAGAGAGGAGGTTTGTTGGGAGGGTTTTTTTTTTAATGAACAGAGGAAAACAGAAGTATTTTAGGGTAATGCCTTACACATTTCCAGCAAGAATAACTTCAGATATTTCATTTTACTCTTCCATTCCAAAAAGCCTAACTGTTTTTAAAGGAACTATTTGGAAATAGTTGGAAAAGCAACTAGATGAAAATAATGGCTGTTGGTTTTAAATAAACGTCTTGTTCCAGAGCTGAGCACAACTCATAACTGCAAATACCTGGTATTAAAATGTTTGTCTCTAAATTGTATCTACTGAGAAAGTCATGTTCTGTGAGACTGATATGTGAAAGCCAGCTCCCAGGTGTTTTCTGTCTTTTGTTTTCTTTGTTTCTTATTTATTCTCCCTTTTTCAGGACAGGCAGGGTCATGACAGTAAAGAAGTTTTTCTTTTTGTCTTTTTTCTCCTTTAGCAGTCTCTTTTGTTAAATATCCTGTCTGCCTTCTCATCCTCCCATTTATTTTGATTTCTAGAGAATAGATGAAATAATGAAGAGAACAAGGAGGAGCGAAACACCAGAAATAAAGGTATGAAACAGTGTGTGGTTGCAGGGTTTTTTGTTTTGTTTTATAACACATATGTGAAAATTAAACTCTAGAGTAGTTCCATGTTAGTAGGTATACTTAGGTACACTCTATACCTAAATTGTAGTTGCATTTCGAACTGAGAATGACTGTTGCTGTGTCACGGTTACCACGTGCTGCTGCTGCTACAGAGACGGTTTTATGCAACTGTTGCAGACTTACCTCCCTCACTATCTAGCAAGGTGGCAAGAGCCTGTTCCTGGATGCTGGAGCTGTAATGTTTGCTGCTGTGATGTATCTTCTCCTGCTTTGTACCAGCCAGTGAAGTAGTTACTGAGCTCTCCGTGTTAAGCCTGCCAGGAATGTAGGATTGAGAATAAGGCAGTTGTGTCCGGCTAGGAAGCGACAGAGAGTCAAGTTTTCACTTGTATTCTAAGTTTTCTACTAAGGAGACTGTTTCTTCAGTTGCTTTCAGAGAATGTTTTCTTTTTGAAGTAAAAAACCAAAAAAATCCTATACCTGATTAAAAAGGGGAAGGAAAAAAAAAATCCTCTCTTGCCGTCGATGACCTTTGACCACCCGGTGGCCCTGGGCAGTCTCTCAAGTTTCTAGTCCAGTCAGTTCCATGAAGGTTACAGTCCTTTGTCTAATACAGTTGACTCATTACTTGATTACAGAAGGAAGAGCCAAAACTGGAGGTACCATCAACTTTGAATGTGGAAAAGCAACCAAAGACCCTTATTCTCAACCAGCCAGGTAAAAATCACCTTATTTTTTCTGACCTGTTTCCACAGTTAGTTCTTTTCAGAGTTTTGTAATCTCAGACAGAGCACTGTGTATTATCACAGGTTCCTTGCTTTCATCTCTACAGCTACACTTGCGTCAGTGACAAATGTAAGAAATTGGAGACTCAGCTTTGTTTTGCCATGTAAGCAGAAGCAGAAGAAAGTTTCTCCTCCATTTTTAGTACCTGACATAGCATTTCTGTAAATGAGAAGTTCCAGTCTGCCAGTAGGTTTGGTTGCTGCAATCTACCTTCAAATTTTGTAGGTAGAAAATTTTTGCACACAACCAAGCTTGCAAGCTTTTCATAGCATTGCTCCAAATCTTAATTTAATTTTATTGCATTGCTCCAAATCTTAATTTAATTTGACTTGATGAAAAAAGCACATGTATTTAAAGAATTATTAAAGAAAATATACATATCTGGCGCTTATCTATATTTTGTTTACTTCCCCAGGCTAAGGCTTTTAGTACGTGACATAAAAGATAATACCTTCTCTTCCTGTTTCCTCAATTTTAAAAGATGGAGCATAAAGAGCAATTTTAGAGTGAAAAAGAGGATTGACAGTATAGTATGATGAGTTGTAAATGAAACTGAGTCCTACTGCATTGTCAGTCTTCCTTTCTACTCGATCTATAACTTAAAAGCATTTGTGATTCTTTTAAAACTATTTAAAGAAAGAAGTTGCTACTGGCATAATTTCTAACCTTCTTTTGTAGAGATCAATGGATTGGCAACCTGCCTGAAAAATAAAAGCTTAGAAAGTGCTGCCTCTGTAATCCCTTCCCAAGATGTAGTTGCTAATGGACTAAAGTCAGTTCCAGGACTTACTCAGCTGGAAGCCGTTGATGGGAAATCCAACAGCATGGAAGATTCAACAGATGAGGTTCAGTCCATGGATGTGAGGTACAGACCGTATCTACCGATAGAAATTGTGGAGTTCATATTAGACACGCAATAAGTTTTCTGTTTCACTTGTTAATGCTTTGCTGCTTTACTTCTCACCTACCCCGCAATGTGGCAGTCAGGTGTCTACTGTGGTGTACTCCACTCCTGTCAACATGCAGATTGGTTGTTTCAGACAAGAGTCAACAGAACCTCATCTCACTCTCATGTATTTGGCGGGGGGGGGGAGGACTCTGAAATCCTTCTACAGTCCTTACTTATGGATTCCATACAAGTTTGCCCAAACCTTTCAGATTGTTCTGTGAAAGTAGCTACTACAAGATATTGTCAGATGTCACCATTTTTTTTTTTGTGTCAAGACTGCGTAGCTATGATGCGTGAGCTTTTCTCCTTCCATACAAACAGAATAAAGAAAATAATTAATTTAGAATTTGAAGTACTTAACTGGAACAAATGTATGGAAATCAGTAGATAACTTCGTGTGTATTCAATACGGTTGGAATTTGATGGAAGGACTTGCAGGAAAGAAGGAAGTTGATAATTTAAGGCTGCTATGAGAAAGCTAGCTCTGAATTTTAAACATGGAATTTTTATACGGTGCTTCCTTAATCAGCAAGCCAACTTAACCTCTCATACCGTTTCAGTGTTTCCAGTAAATCTGCATAAATACGTAAGAAATGCCCTACTGGGACAGACCAGAAGTCCATCTAGCCCATTACTTGGTCTCAGAGAGAATCAGTAAGACAAACTAGTTAGGGAGAGCACCTGAGCCCACCACTTTCTGCAATCCAAGACCGTGCAGAAGTGTTACATTAGGGATGTTAGAGGGTACAACTCTGCCTTGCCCTTTGAAATATCCACCGATGGGCCTGTTGCCCATGAGTTTATCCAACTCCTTTTTTCAACCTGCTGATAATGTTGGCATCCAGGACCTCATCTGGCAGCAAGCTCCACAGCACAGTCCTACTAGGTAAATTATATTCTCTGATCTGTGTTAAACCCAGTCTCTTACTAGTGTCATTGGGCACCCCCTAGGTTTTGTGTTGCAGGATCTGATGCGCAACAGTTTTGCCCTCAACTTAGCCACCATTCCTTCATGGTTTTAGGAATCTTTGCGAAATCCTTCCTCTGCCTTCTCTTCTCCAAACTGAAATGCACTAGCCTTACTAGTCTTGGCAAAGCGTCAGCTGGTAGCAGCACTTCTTAAATTAAATTCTAGGATATTTAATGTCTGAAGTATATCATAAGGTCGTAAGAAATAACTTTTTAGTTAAGTTGCGAAGTGTGAGTGCTTTAGGTAAATGTTTGCAGGGTCAGGACAATAATTTGCAAGATGCAATAAACATTTAAGTAAGGGAATGGTGCAGGGACGGAAATAATGAGTTCACAGTAAACTACCAGAAATGTGTTTTTAGGAGGCGAGTGTTCACATCACACAGCTACCACAAACCTTCATCTTTAAGTAATATAGATTAAGTATGACCTTCCATCCTGAACAGGGTAACCTGTTTTTGTTTGGATGGGGACATATTCTAGGTAAAGGCTTGCTGCAGCTGGCCTTAAGACAAGTAATAGTTTTTGGACAGTCAGAAGATTAATTTGGTTGTTGCTAAATGAAAAGCTACACACCTCTTATTCTGCATCTTCCTTTTGTTTATCTTTTGTATAGCCCGGTTTCAAAAGAAGAACTTATCTCTATCCCTGAATATTCACCCATGAATGAACTCATGCCTGGTGTTTCTTTGGACCAAAATGGGACAAGTAATGCCAAGGCTCTTGAAGATCTCTTGGATTTCACAGGCCAAGCTACATACTCCAAGATGTCCAGCGATACCATTAGCCTAGATGACTGTAACAAAAACTTGATTGAGGGATTTAACAGTCCAGGACAGGAAAATACACTTAATTCTATCTGTTGACAGCCTCGCTTTTCAGCAGAACAGATAAAGGTACAGTATTGTGATAAACATAATAGATATGATAAATTGCTGTGATTACTTACGAGCTTCCCAGAAAAATATAGCAGTTGTAAACGGCATATGTGGAGAGAGGAAGAAAGCTGGTCTCCAGATATTTAAATTCAGCATAATCTTTCATATTTGCAGCTCTTTGTAAATTGGCATCATATGCAAACTGAGTGTATCGTAGCAACCAAAAGTATCCGGTAAATGGAAACATTTCCTTTATCCAGAATATATCAGAATATAGTGAGAAGAGTTGCTTTTTTTTTTCCCTTCATTGCTACAATACCTTTCCTATAAGTCTTGAGAGCCTGTTTGCATGAAGAAAACAGTTAAAAGTGGGGCCAGCCTGGAAAATGGTAGTTACTGTTGCTGCTTACTCTTTTCTGCTGCTGTAAGTACTTGCAGCACGGTGTAGAATCACTTATCCTGGAAAGCCAGCAAGCAATATGAAAAAAGCGTAGTAGGCTTCAGTGACAGTTTCGAAGTACAATGCCACAATCAATTGTTTTGAAAGAGCGTATTCTAAATTACAAAACTGAGGTCATCTAACTTGCATAGCTGACTTGATATTCTTCTCTCTCTTTTTTTTTAATTGACAGAGGTAGCAATTTGTGGAGGATATATATCCCTGTGATGCTACTGGCAGTAAAATATGAGCTTGTCACTTGAAAAAGCTTCTGCAGTCCTTGAACACTGGATTTCAAATAATCAGAGCTGAATATAACTTTGTCTTCCCAGGGAATGTGTTGAATAACTGGCTGCTTTTGGTAGAAACCAATGAACTAGAGCCTGGATGGTTTCAGGGAAGACTGAGCGTGCGTTAGAATTTGAGCTTTAGCTGCTAATAAAGCACTTATTTCTTCTCTTAATTTAAAATTCATCTCAACACTTCACTGTGATTTTTACCTGTGCATTTTATTGTGAAATAATTCTTCCTTAAGCTTTGTCATACATCCGTTTAGACATCTTTTTCTTGTAAATAATGATGAGGTTTGCCCACAGTGCATTGAAATGAAATAATATACTGTACTTCAGTTTTGTGCCTATCTTTTTTTTGTCTTTAATAAGGAGTTACTGGCAACTTTTATGCAGGTGTATAATTCAAAAGTATAGCTGAAGAGGCTTGAAAAATATACAACTGCTGGAATCAAAAGAGCCTTCCTACTGACTGTGGAGTGTGGGAGCTATCCCCTTATGGTTATGTTGACACTTTTAGTCACTAGTGGCACTTACTGGTTAATATTAATTAGTCTGGGAGCAACTATCAACTATGTGTTTAAAAACATACTTGTGTAACACCTGTAAACAAAGTAGGCAAAATGCCTGGTGTAATCCCTTAATATATATATAGTGTAGCTGTAGTAGATCCAAGTGAGAGGTCAGGGGGGTGAGATAACATGTTAATCTTTGAAGATGCAGTCACGTGGTTAATACCAGCAGGCTTTCTATCATGTGGAGAAGTATTTTGTCTTTCTGTAGGCTCAACAAAACAAGATTTAGTCAGCAGCAAAACAATATGCGAACGTTGCAGCAGAAATGCAAAGGCTGAGACGCTCCCAAGGAACGCTGCTAGCCCCCTTAACGTTCTGTAAGCATCTGTATGAAAGAATTCACATCAAGATGTGTGAATCAAGATCTAGATTCACATCAAGATCTAGACATTATGTGCCATACAGTGTGAACTTTATTTCTGTTGGTGAACTATGACAACTTCACGCTAGATCATGTGCTGCTTTGAGGACGCTTTTGTCCAGTTCCTTATAAGAATAAATTATAAATATGACCCTCTTTGGACACTTAACACAAAAGAAGTGAAAACTTGGGGGGGGAGGGTGTGTTTGCTTTTCTGTTTGTTTTTTTTTCACGTGTTAAGGGAGTTCACAGCATAGCTTGAGCTCAGTTGTAGCCCTGTTCTTGTGCTCTTTAAAGCCAGCAACGGGAAAGTAACCAATGACATTATGTGCGATGTATGAAGAAATCATACCTACAACAATCCAGCTCTGTTTATGTTAGTGTACTTCAGAGAAATACTTTCTTTTGACTGTGCAGTAAGCTGTAGCATGGTACTGTGTCTTCCAAATTAGTCCTTCATTTATTTCCTAAATAATAAACAAACAAAACCAGTTTGTTTTGCTGTGATACATTGTGTTTGACAAATGTCACATTATATTTTATTATGGTGTCATTGTATAACCTGTAGATTTCTGTATTTGCATGACCTGTATAGCATGTATAAAGGTGAAATACATTTTCATTTATGAATACAACTTGTTTCTTAGCTTTTTTTACTCCCAGCACAAATATGACTAATTTAAAAATACAGGTATGTTAATTTGTTCTGATGTTTTCTGAAGGAGGGTGTAATACTGACCAAAGGAGCGGTGGTCGGCGCCTCAGAATATTTCACCATTGTTTCCTTTGCCATACACTAACTTGCTTTCTGAGGTCTTGCCAATACACAGAGGAAATGCAGACTGGTGGCAGAAGAGCCTTAAGGTGAGGGCTTCCGAACTGTGGCATCCAGGGTGCTAGTGACAGTATACAAGCCAGTTTGCAGCCCCATCTTCTGCTCTCTGGGGTATTACTTGGCAAAGAAAACAAGGAAAAGAAAACTTGGGAGCTGTGGCCGGTAGTCACTGTTCTGTTGGGTGTGCAGGAGCTGTTCTGTAAGGGTACCCGTAACATAAATGCTGAACTTCTCTTCAAACTACATCCACGTACTGCTGCTTAGAAAGAGGCCAGCCTGGAGCTGCTGTTAGTTTTCTAGTGAAACGCTGGGGGGAAATGTTCTACAATTACAAGGAAAAGAAAACTTGGGAGCTGTGGCCGGTAGTCACTGTTCTGTTGGGTGTGCAGGAGCTGTTCTGTAAGGGTACCCGTAACATAAATGCTGAACTTCTCTTCAAACTACATCCACGTACTGCTGCTTAGAAAGAGGCCAGCCTGGAGCTGCTGTTAGTTTTCTAGTGAAACGCTGGGGGGAAATGTTCTACAATTATTTTTTTTTAAATGATAACTTCAATCAAAATTAAAAATTAATCTACTTTTATTATGAAGTATATTAATATTTTCCATGGTGACGGTTCATCTCATTCTTATTAACTCTTGACTCATTCATGTGGTTTGTCCACTCAATTATTTACTAAGATTAAAGGAAGCATGATAAGTGAGTATTCATGAAGAAAGATACTGCATATTTTCCTTTATATTTGCTTTCAAATGTAACTTTGCAAATTTGGCTGAATATCTGGAGCAAGTATTGTTAGCTGAGCGGTTAAATCTCTTCTACTTTTTGCTTTTGATGTTGTAACTTCTTCGTACTGATTCCATACCAGTGTTTGCTGCTGTGATTCAAGTCTGCAGTGAGCTTTGCTTTTAATTTGTCGGTGGTCTTGAAACTGTGGTGAAGGATCACTGGTGATTCACACAAGTCCTTGGTAGAGCTTTTCTGCTGTAAAGCACTTGAGAATCAAACTGTGAGAAGAAGCAAGAAAAAAAAGAGTAGAGCAGTGATCCTTAAATGGATTTTTCTAAATGGATTTGTAAACGGATGAATGGATTTTTTTTCAGATTACTTTTATAAAGTGATCTGCAAAACAGGATTGTACACACCAAGAAGAATCAGACACTGCTACTGTCCTTTCCCAGATTTATTTTCAATAGCTAGTGTTAACTACTAGTAAGTTTCCAATACATAAATAAATAATACCTGAGATAATTGGGCATCACAGTAGCTCTCTGATTTAGGTTCAGCACCTTCTGTGGTGTTGCCCTGGGAAATGATACCCAAAGCTTGCCTCAGCGAAGGCCCCGAGCAGAGACCTCCTGGCTCCCCAGCGAGGGCATTTCAGAACAAAATGGCATCAGTGAGGGGTGGATCTGGACCCCCGGGCTGCATTTTCATCTAGTGAGGAAGGGCTAGAAGGGGAGGAAAATCATCCTCTCTCCTGTAATTGTACAAATTGTACCTGCGGAGGAAGCAAAGAAATAGCACAGAGTGCTACTCCGGCTGGCAGGGTGGGGATCTTCCCC